TAAAACAACATTTAATTGCGCAAGTCAATGAACTACTTTGACAAAAAAATTAGATTTTGAAATAATGCCGTCATAAAGTTATAGCACCGCCTAATCAGTTCCTATTCGCAACTGGTCTAAAGACTGTACCTATGTTTGAAAATGTTATATTATTCACAACCTTCTCTTTTTATGGCAGATCAGCACATTTTCGAACATATCCTTCTTTACTATGCCAATTCTAAAAACAAATTCTGTCACTCGACAAACAAAGAAGAAGTTTTCATGATAGAATGCAAATCTTATAACCAGGAGAGTTCCTCTTCAAAAACACAAAATGTACAATTATTTCTCTTTTCTAGACATGCATTTTACATGTTCTGTTGATACACTCTTTTCATTCAAACCCATCAGTGACAAGGCAAGTGATTCATAGAATTCAAGTTGTCCAAATCTTGAAGAGTACCTACTGCCCTTCTGTTCTTTATCAGCGGATTTTTTTCTCAATGCATTCCTATGTAAAATTAAGAAAATATATTGCAGCCAAGCCTCACCGTAACCCCAGGTGTCATGATTTTAACAAATCTTAATCTAAAGATGCTTTTATGAATTTATGATAAGTCATGGCTTCCCTAACAAAAATATTATCGTTAACTATATTTACTATAGTTAAAGAGGGATTCTTCTCATATTTCTTGTGTTAAAAAATTAATGAAATTTTCATAGATTCAAGAAGACATTATCACTACGTGATGGTATCAATAAAAATAAATTTGACCGTTTTATTTTAGAAGCAAGGACAAGTCAAGGTCATTATCTTTTTCCTTGACATTAAAAATGAAAAATTACTGTTGCCAATCATGCGATGCCTACTTCTATTTCAAAAAATTAAATGTTTTTCTTTTTGCATAAAAAGATATTACTATATAAGGTCTATCAGATGATACTACCAAATTGACACAAATAATGTAACTAAAATAGATATTAGCTACTCCGAATATCCTCTATTTTTCTTAATTTTTTAGGATATATTGGTTATTTTTACATACTTCGCATTTTTAATTTTTTCTGATTTTCACATATGGTAAAGTTGTCTTATAAAGATACAAAATGATATAAAAACAAAAAGTTTTGACCGTTTGCTAAGAGAGAAAAACACTTTTAATTGATTTTTTGCTCAATCTATACTTAGATTGTAAGATTATATAAGCAAATAAAATTGTAGTTTGTTTGGAAAATCATATTTATTTAATACATTTTAAAAAACTTTATTCTATTATTATTAAATTTACTTACATTTGAAAATTTCTTTAAGTTTCTGATTGTTATTTTTTTAAAACTAAATTCATTGTTCTATGGTAATTTTGAGAAGCAGAAAAGGAGATATTTTCATACGCCACCGTTCCTCCAAAATATAGTCCCTGCTAGATTTCAAACTCAGTTTACCATTTCTATTTAAAGTTGTACAAGTTGTACAATTATGACGAGGAAAAAAAAATCATCTTTTAAATTCCTTACATCTAAATATATGACATACAAGCAAATATACTTTGAATATTTCATCTAGTCAGAAACCAGACAAGAATCCCTCCTTAACTGTAGTAAATCAAAGTGTCAAAGTTATCACTATAGTAAATCAAAGTTTTCAAAGTGATCACTTTAGTGTCATACTGATCACTTAAGTAAATCAAAGTTTTCAAAGTGATCACTAAAGTAAATCAAAGTTTTCACTATAGCAAATCAAAGTGTCATAGTGATCACTATAATAAATCAAAGTTTTCATAGTTATCACTATAGTTAACTATAGTTTTCATAGTGTCAAAGTTATCACTATAGTTAATTATAGTAAACTATAGTTAACTATAGTATTTTTTGTTAGGGTTTGCTGTTTTGAAGAAGGAAATTAAAGATTTTTTTCTCATAGATTCTTCTGTTAATCTTACATTGGCTGACCATTGTGGCCCAATCCTACCCTGGGGTAATGATTTGAACAAATTAGAATCTACATTACCTGGTAGATACTTCAGTATGAATATAACTAACGATTGCTTCGCTGTTCTTGTGAAGAAGAATTTCAAAAAGATTTTCTCTATGTATTATATGAAAAACTCTTATGTCCAAGTCATGGCCCCACCCTACTCCGGGAGTCATGATTTGAACAAACTTCAATCTAGACTCATTGAAGATGCTTCCATCTAAATATGACTTATCAAGGCCTTGCCTTGTGAAGAATGTTAAGATTTTTTCTATTGTTATGTAAAACTTTGATTCCACATAATGGCCCCACCTACATGTACCCCCAGGGATCATGATTTGGACAACATTAAATTAACACTTCATACCTTATACTGTTTTCCATTTGAAGCTGATGCTATTGCTCTTCAATGTCGGGAAGTTTAAATGTGAAATTTGGAGCAGAGGGTCATTTGTCCTTAAGAAGGACACATATCTTTTTGTCCTAAGATATATTTGTTGTTCAATTTTCAATTGAAAATTACATAATTGGTGTTTTTTATTTCCCCTACATAATATAATGAACTATTACAATAAACAAGGAAAAATTAAAATGGGTAAATACACTCCACTTTGGTTAATGACAAACAATATTAGCTATACATTAAAAAGTGTTATTGCATGATATAGTCATTTAAAAAGTAAGTATTGAATATTAGCAACAACTTTAGTAACCCGATATATAGATCAGTCTGGTTTTCAATCTGCTTAACCATGCGTTCTGCCATATGTAGGTATACGCTTGACCAGTTGCAACTACAATGTAGTTGTTTAGGCGTCTATTTTTGCATTGAATTTATTTGAACGATTTTCTTATTCAATGTAGGACTCCCTGAGCTTCTTGGAACATTTCAAACACACAGGATAATGTCTCTCAGGTCGGCTATTTATATATATATATATTATTACATTTATTTGATTGAGCATAAAAAGAAAAAGCTTAATGTATGTATAAATTGTGCTTATGTTTTTCTAAAGACAGTTCACATTAATTAAAAAAAGATTTGGAAACAACTGGCCATGTACTTTATTCTAAATTAAACTCTTGTTTCTAAACTCTTGTCTTTAAAATATTCAAGAAACAGCAAAATCTATGCACCTATCAAAATTAATAAAGTATTTTATTATTTTTAAAATATTTCATTTCCAAGAAAATATTACTATTTTAGAATATGAACTGACTAATATCCAATATTGACCAGTTAAACTTCATGTGAATTTTTGTAAAAAGAACAAAGTTGGGGGGAGAGCGTAGCTTTATGGTTTCAGATGATCAATACACTTTTGTGTATGAGATTCTTTGCTATGTAATCTTGGTTTCTGGAAATATATAGTTATAATGTACATCATAATACTTTTCAACACCATACAATGGTGATGGAACTATGATAATAAATTATAAAGTCTAATTGTGTTTGATATGCAATGTTAAATGAATACGGGTAAAAAATGATATTAGATAATTTCCTTTCATATTTTCAGACGGCGTTTGAGCGCAAATTGCTGGCTTAAATATTTTCAATAAACGTGAATTGGAAAATGGCAAAGGCAGTGGTGGCCCTGATCTCTCTAATTTAGGAATGCATATACTATCCATACTTCCTTTGACACGATTGAAGAATAAGGCAGATTGAAAGACAGAAAGCAAGATAATTGATATAAATGGCAAATACATGTTATTTCTCAGATATGAAGAATATGTGCTGGTTGAGCAAGCATGTAGTCTGTTTTATTATGTAGGTAAATAGTGCGAATTCTCCTGCAAGACATTCCATAAATAAGGAAGAAAAACATGACCTGGATTAAGAGGATTTCGGTAAAAGAAGTTTTTGATGATTTTTAACATTCATTGAACTGACTTGCAGTGTTTCCCTAGGAAGTTGACTGATTATTTGTTAAGTGGTTTTTTTTTGTACTCACTATCTTGTGTATTGTGCAAACGGCAATTATTATCTGATGTGCTTTATAATATTACTTGTATACAAAACGAAAGAAGACATCTCTTACATGAAAGAATCTTCCTTTTGTTTTTAAAAAAAATTCTTTAAAAATAAATTTCATCACATAAATGTTTAAAACACGAACAGTTTCTGTGTAAATACCTTAAATGAATTTTCGATAAAGCAAAAATGACACCAATCATATAAGAACCGAATTTTCTTATCCGGTCATTGAAAACACTTTTACCTAGTGCTTTGTTTCGTGTGTCAGCAGCAGCCATATTGAAATTGAAATTTTAAATTTGAAAACAATGGAAGGTGATGCATTGAAAGATTTCCCCATAATTCTAATTAACTTAAAAACAGCAGAAATACTAATTTTGTGCCGTTCTTTATTTTATAAAGAATGATTATCTTTAATTCATGATCAAATTCTACCTCTCGGTGTAAACAAATACTTGATATGAAAAATAACAGATAACTGAATGATAACTGAAATCAAATGTATGCTTTGAATGAAAGATTATCTTATTCAATAAACATATACATGTATGTGCATGTCAGATGAAATATTTTGTAGATTTATGATCTTTTTGAGAAAAAAAAGACCCATTATAAAGTAACTTTCACTGCACACTACAGGATCATTTAATTCTTAATTGACACTTGATATTGAAGTAAAGAAGAATTAATATGTATTGTGTAGTTGAATGTTTTCCTTGCAAATGCTTATCACAAATTATTTTCAACTCTTTTCTTTTCAGACCAAGTAGCTTTGACTCATATATGGTTTATAACCTTTTCTGGCATTGTTCTTTTTTTTATTTGTGCAGGTAACATGTTTAGATTTAATAACTACATTCCATTGTTCACAATTTTAAATATTCAAAAAAGAAAAAAAAAAGAAAAAAAGAAAATTTACACATGGGTTTCTTTTAAAAGAAAAACACTAAGGTAAAAATTGATTGGATAATCTGTAAATTAGAACACCATACATGAATGAAATTATTCTTTATGTCATACTGTAAATTTTAAAATTATTTGCAGGAATTAAAAACCAGCGAAAGTTCCTGCCATATATCAAGAAACACTATAAAGTCTGCTATGTATTGCCCAAGCAGTGAAGAGGAGTGGAAAAAAGCTTCTGAAAGAAAGAAGTGCTCAGCCTTTGATAGTAAATGTAGTAATCCTAAGAAACTTGCATATCATTGTGTGACAAACCCATTTCTCAATGAAACAGTTGAAGTTTGTGCTTATGACAGGATCATTTTCTTAGGTATACAAATTGTGTGTTTCTTAGAGAGTAAAAGGGGGATAAGAAGTCCTTATTCTTCCTGAATGCATTTTGGTGAATAAGAATGCAAAGAATACCTTTTACCTGTAGTCTCTCAAAAATATCAAAAGAAATTTCAGGTAAAGGGATTCTTTCTTATGTGTTCAAATATCACAATCTGTAATTTAAAAAACTCTGTTAAACTTTCTTATGCAATGAAACATTCGTTATCATTATTAGAGACTAGATATCATTAGATAATCAATTGATTACTTACATATCTCACTATAAGTCCAACATTGATTTTTAATTTTTCCATAATTTTTCGAATTTCGAAATTAACATAATTTGATTTCACAACACGTAATATCTGACGTGTGTACGAACATATCAGTTTTGTACCTTTATGTCTATACACTGTCTTATTCAAATACTGTATTGGTATGATTCAGGAATAAAAGAGAAAACATGGTACCTATTTGAGAGGTATTAATAGTGATACATCTTTTTCAGGCTATTGTACAGAATACAGTCTCACTGCTAACAGAATTCAACAGAATTTTCAAGCAAAGTGTGACAACTTCACAATACAACCGTGTCCACCTGCTTATCATTCATCAGAGGCTTTTAAATGTAGGTTTTAAAACTTTCATCGATACTTTGGATTTAACATAAAATATACAGTTCTTTCATTTATTTTTATAGACCTTGGGTGTTACGAACTGATAAGAAAATCAAGGAAAACTTTAGCATCTTCTTTTTCTCCATCTTCTGAATCAACTACATGGACCGATGTCATGCAACACTCTAGGTAATTTGTTTTGTATTTAAGGTATTCAATGTATAACGACCATATTTTATACCTAATAAATGAATGGTCCGATATTTTTATTCATGGTATCATTTTGAAGGTATTATCAAATAAAAATACTCCACCAAAGAAATTTAGAAAATGTTGATCATTGTCCAATTAATTGCACCTTAAATTTTACATTGAAGTCTATGGGCAGCGCATGTGCTATAAAGATATTGTAAAAAGTAATCTGAACTACCTACAAATCTCTTGGTGAAAATATGCATAAACTTTCTCTTTATTAAAATAGAAAATAAAATGAATCATTTACAATAGATATTTAGACAAAATTAAATTTTTCTTCTTTTCACCAAGGGCAGATAACTCTTCAAAAACGTTTAAGGAACAAAATGGCTGGCTTCTTTTATGAGATCAGTCAAATGAATTTGGTTCGTTTCACTTTCATCATTATCTAGCAATTCATATTTAACTAGTATAAAATGATTCAAAATTGTTCAATATCCCTTTATTATACATTGGATACCTTAAAAAGCCTTTGTTTAATTATTTAAGATGACCGTTTTATCTATAAATAAATGATGAAATCGATGTCTGATTGATTAAAATAAACCAATAATTTGTTACATGTTTATTAAATTTTAATTGAGTGTGGGAAATTAATTCATATCATTATCTTTTCAGATCAACCGTAGAACACCAAACGGATAACAGTGGTGCTAGTGAAAGCAGAGAATTATTGGAATTCCTCTCATTTGCTTCGAGTTTCTTCCTAGTGGTCATAACATTCACACTTCTAGCATAGAGGTGAATACTCTACATGTAGGTTAAAAAATCATTGTAAACGTAAATCATTAGTTCATACACATTTGGTCATTATGATTTATATTCAAATTAAGTATTCTGATCAAAATGAGTCCAGTGAGTACATTTCTTTTGATGGCTGCATATTATATTTTTAAGAAGCATTTTTAATGTCTTCCCCCCCCCCCCCCCAAAAAAAAATGATGCATATATCTTTTTTTCAAATATCAAAAATTAAAGAATTTCAATAGTGTTCAATTTCCTTTTTTGCCATCAGCCTCTTAAATTTACACAACTGAACGGGGCATCATTGAAGATCTTTGAATAAAAAATAAACTTGCAAAAATTGCATGAAGTCAAAGGAAAAAAATTAATACTATCGTTTTTGTTGATGAATAATGATAGAGAGAATACATTGTTGTAAATCTTCCTGGACACAAAATCCGCAAGATCGGGTCACCCAGTTGAAATTATGGACACCTTGGATTATTTGAAATTACTCGTCCTTATACATGTTTGTTAGCTCAATTTCTCAAACCATAACTTAGAAAATGAATCTATATTTTGTTTTTGTTGATTGAGTGCTCAAAAATCTTTTTATCAAAATAAAAAAAAGATTAAACAATGACAATTTGATGAGACCTCATTATTGTGTATAAAATTGTGATAGTCTTTTTAAGACAAATAAAATTTAAAATGCATTTTAATAGAAGGGCAATATCATTTACGATTAGTAATATAAGTAACAAACTTTTTACAAATACTTATTGAAAAATGGGAAGTGAATATTTAAAAGACTTAAACATTAATATCTAGTTTAATCTAAAAAAAAATTATCTCTGCTTCTCCATTTGTACAATTGTATTGCAATGAAATGTGAATGTATAATGCTCAAACGTCTAACATATGTTTAACCGATGGACAGCAGGACGAACAGAGATCCTCTTAAAACATTAGAGTTTGAATTAGTTCTAGAGTTTGAATATAAATAACCAAGACTAACCAAATTTTGCATAGCCATAATTTATTCAATGATCCTTAAAATAGTGCATATTTTAATATATATCTTTAATAGTAGTCATATTATGACGATTTATAGGAAGACCGCGCAGCACAGTTAAGGCTGCAGTAAGGAGGCGGGGCCTAATTTATACGGGAAATGCTTACTATGACATCACTCAAAAATATAAGTTCTTCAAATTACCACAAAATGAAATGATTTGCTATTTTAAACTGTTGGATAGCTTTAAACCACATCAATACTAACTATTGCATGCATTTTTGTAGTTGGTTAAATCCCACACAGCAATATATAAAAAATTCACTGATCGCAATGCACTTGTCAATGTGACGTCATATCGTAAAATTTGACGCAGTTTTTATGCATTTTTCATTGAATAAATATAACTTGATCCGCCTCTCACTGCATACAAACTGCGTCATGACGTCACATTGACAAGTGCATTGCGATCAGTGAATTGTTTATATATTGCTGCGTGGGATTTAACCAACGACAATAATGCACTAGTTAGTATTGATGTAGTTTAAAGCTAATCAACAGTTTAAAATAGCAAATCATTTCATTTTGTGGTAATTTGAAGAACTTATATTTTTGTGTGATGTCATAGTAAGCATTTCCCGTATAAATTAGGCCCCGCCTCCTTACTGCAGCCTTAACTGTGCTGCGAAGTAGAGTCCTGTCAAATTCAGACAAATTCAGTTATGGGTCTCACAATTGACGTCAAACTTTGTGTATTCTCTGCTATCTACATGTATAATGTAAAGCGACCTTGTGACGGTAAATATTGTCGTTTTGTACATATTGTCGTCGGCGACAATATGTACCTACCCTCACTGCACATTTTGTCGTCCATCGGTACATATTGTCGCCGGCGACAATATGTACCGAGACGAGCCTTATTTTCCTCCTGCATAATGGACGACAAAATGTACAGTCAAGCACCAGCACTTATTGTCGTCGGCGACAATATGTACAGTCAAGGTCGGCATATATTGTCGTCGACATATTGTTTTGACGAATATTTACTTGAATGAAAGAGATGATTGACAACACACATGCACACTTGGAGGGAGACAGACAGCATTACTCACAATACTGTAGGTAGAAAACTTTTTGATCAGAATATTGTGTTAAGGATTGATGTACATCACAATGATGTGTCAAGATATCACAATTCTTGATATATATGATAAATCAACCTATTCTTTTTTCTTGTAATATATACTTGGAGATTGAATACATGTATTAGCTTTTTTGTTCAGTAGTAATGATTATTTGGAAATTATGTTTTGTGTTATTCTTTTAGATACAGTTATGTGCCGATATAATTGGTGTTGGGGTTGGCATTTTTAGATCACCTGAACTGGAAGTTCAAGTGAGCTTTTCTGATCACATTTTGTTTGACCGTCTCTTTTCACAATTTCAGATTCTCCTCAAGAACTACTGGGTCAATTTCAACCAAACTTGCCACAAAGCATCAGTGGATAAACGGGGTTTCAGTTTGTTCAAATAATGGGCCATGCCCTCTTTCATGGGAAGTAGTTAAGAATTAGTGAACATTTAGTGATTTTTTTTTTACAAAAACTTCTCAAGAACCACTGTGGCAGAAAAGTTGAAACTTATGTGAAAGCATAATTATGAGGTGTAGCTTCAGTTTTATTCAGATCATGTCTCTCGGGAAAGGGTGTGGCTACAATAGGTGATCATTTTTCTTAGAATATTTAGAAACAATTCTTTCATAATCTTTTTTCAAGAACTATTGGGTCAGAAGAGATGAAACATATGTGAAAGCATCATTACATAGCGTACGTTAATTTTGAGGTGCTGGTACGAAAAAGATCTCTAATTGCTCAATGACCCTAAATGCCAAGTGTAGGTTTAAATTTGCAGCCCTCCACCGGCTAGTGGTGACATCTACATCTAAATGAAAAATTCTCAAGATGGACTTTATAACAACAAACAAACAAACAAAAACAAAATCAATTTTGTTCAAATCATGACCCCAGGAGTAGGAACAGCAATAGGCCCGTGATTAGTGATGTTTATATGGAAGTATCCTTTGGTAGTGTAGATTCAAGTATCTTCAAATGATGACCCCGGAGCTAGGGTGTGGTCACAATGGGTGATCAAAGTTTTACATAGGAATATATGGAAAAATTCTTTAAAAATTATCTTCTCAAAAACAGCAAAGCAATGATCAGTCATATTTATATGGTGCATTGCCGTGCATGTCATGCGACATGTTCTGATGGACGACAATATGTGCAGTAAGGGTAGGTACACATTGTGTAATATGAACAGGATGACAAAATGTACCGTCACAATCACGCTGCATAAAATAGCAAACGAGACACGTCTGTGTGGTTCACACACCAATTTTATTCACAAAACTACCAAACAAAAAACAAAAAAAAAACAACAAAATAAATCTTTAAGCAACAGTAGCTGTGGGGCGACAATATGTACAGTGAGGGTGAGGCACATAATGTCGTGTACATGTGTAACTTTTCAGCCGGCGACAGTATGTACCGATGGCCGACAATATGTGCAATGAGGGTAGGTACATATTGTCGCTGACGACGTTATGTACATGACGACAATATGTACCGTCACAGACCTTTCGAGGACTGAAATTTGAATCTGATAAAAAAAAAAAAAACTATGCATATATGGATATTGGTGAGTTTTACAGAGTCCCTCAGTCAAGAAAAAAAATATCGATAAGCTTGAGAGACGCATGTTAAACATATGGGACAGCATACTTAAAAATGATCATGGCGTTATAAGAGACGCAAACTAGGTTTGCTTTCTTGCGCCGACGTACACTTATCTGCTTTCTTCATTTTTTACATTATTTTCTTATTAAATGTGTTATTATCATGAAACTTGAAATTCATTATCATAAAATATTGCTTTTCACTATGAAAAGAAAAGAAATTTAATTTAGCAAAGAAAAAACTAAATTATTTTCTCTGTCTACGACTTTTTGGGACAGCCCTCATATATATATATATATATATATATATATATATATAAGGCAAGGATACATAATCATGTATTAAAAAAATCTTTTGATTTATGGACATTTATTTAACCTGGTCTTATTATATATTAATATTTATATTTTTGATATAAATTGTAGGTTTTTAAGGAAGGTAGTGCATTTGTAGACTGTAAAACTTCTCACAGTATTCTCAATCATAGTTTTAGATAATTTAGCAGTGTAGGAAAAGGATACAGGATATATTGCAAATACTCATAAACTCCATCACCAGCAAAGGAAGCAGAAATCAAGGAAACACAAATGTTTGATAAACAGAGGACAAGATCTTAAACCATCTAGAATACAGCGGCCAGAACTCAATTGTTACTTAAGTACCAATTACACATACTGCTAATCCTTGCAAAAATGCCTTGTTTTTACAGAATACGAGAAACACTCAATAGAAAAGGGAACAAAGTTACGTGCAAGAAATTTATAGTAGTACATCAATTGCAAGAAAGATAATTCGCACACAATAAAGCAACAACTCGTTTTAGAAATATATTGACAATTATCTCCATAGTGACAATAACATTCTCCTCTCTTAGTACAATATGTTCCAAAATCGTTTTGCAATCATTTTTGTTTGTAAGTATAATAAAACATAAGCTTTTAAACAAAAAAAATGCCAGTAAAAATAATAAATTTAAAAAATATAATAATAAAATAAAATATAAAAAGGCGGAAATTGAAGGGATTCAAGAGTTATTATATTTCAGAAGCTTTCCAATTTCAGACAGTTAAAAATACTATAAGAAACAATGTATTTTAAACTGCTTTTAGAAAGACATTTATTTTTTTATGTAGATATAATTTATATTTCTCATAGTAAATTCCCATAAACATATTCTTTTAGAAGATAATCGCTTTATTCGGATTATTATTAGAAACAACGTTTTAAACGATTGTTTTACTTATACAAGCGCTCATATCTTGT